AGTTGGGATGAAAGGCAGATTAAAGGGTTTATACCTGCAGAACATGTGTAAACAGTCCCTGAGAATTACACCTTCGCGCGGCCCGTATGTAACGAAGCATATTGGGCACTCGATCGGCTCGGAATTCGGAATGACGTCCCAGTTCTCCAACGATATCAATTCCTCGTATCGTCCCATCTTGACATCTTCCGATATGTCTATCTCCACGGTGTCTCGCTATTGCACACAAAGATATCGAAATGTACGTCGTGTATCTTCCTCTTTGATTTAAATGCGCTAACCAGCAAAGGAACAAATAAAGAGCGCAACAGTTGTGCTTACAAGCAGAACTAACATTTCAGTGAGATAGTGTGCCGTTGCGTATTTGTTACCTGATCCTCGTTTGTTGCTAACGTTACATCCTCTCTCTCGATAATTTCCTGATTTTCTTCGATTGTTTGCAAGACTACCGCTGGCGGATCTTGCGGCAAATCCTCAGGAACTTCATCTTCCGCGACTTGCGCTTTGCTCGCTTGCGTCGCATTGTCGATATGCAATTCTAAAATTTTTTAACACATTTATGTAATTTAGAGGAGAGTGTATAGAGAATATCTTATATAATAATTATAATTCTAGGCACATAATATATATATTCTATATTTCATATAAGCCACTACATTTTCATTTTGCATTGTGTTTCGTGATAAAAAAATAGGCTTTAGAATAAAGAACGAAAGAATACGCTTTGTTTAATCAGAGCAGAAGCCATATCAAAATAAATTAAATTACCAGGAGCTACGAGGTAAAGAAACACCGGTAAGCCATCCACTGCGTGTAATTCGTTGAGCGTAACGTCGTCGCGATCGGCCAAGTTTTTCCCGACGATCCATCGCTGCACGTTCGTGGGTATCTCGAATTCCGTATGTATCTTTGTCTTGAGTTCGGCCACCGTCATTCCCGTCGGCAGCTGTTATCATAGTCCGGTTGGTGAAACGTTTTGTTTGCATATTGAGCGATCGTCAGTATCGGTTACTTACCTGAAGCGGTATAGGCCCTTGGTGCGCGAGTTTGTCTTCGATATACATATTGACTTTAATCGACTGATCCTTCAAACGCGCCGCCGAACGCTGTCGTATCACAGAACAATGGATCTTGAGCCTTGCCAATTCCTTCGCTAATCCCGCAGCTTGCTGATGATGGCCTGATGCGATGGCCCCTTCCAGCTTTCTTAGCAATCGATTTATAGCCAGGGTATTCATGTTCCTCTCTCTTGAATTATCGTCTAAACAACGTAATAATCCGTGTTGTAAAATTTCCCTTAAAATTAAATCAAGGCAAATATTTTTCTAAAATTAAATATTTCTAGAGATTACACATTTATTTATTTATTTTCTTCGCTTGGAGAATAAATAATTAAAATGTGGAAATTTTGTTTTACAAATAAACATTTTGTCGTCGACGCGTATAATTTTAGAATGTAATTTACGATATTACCTTCCTCTGAAAACTCATCTTCGTTTAGCGTAATTTTATTCTCGATCACAATATTGGACGGTACTTTAACATTACTATTTTGCGAAATATCCTTAGATCGTGTCGGATCTGGTTGTTGTTTTGGCGAGGCGGGAGGAACGTGAGCATTCGCGTACAGAGATGGTTCTATCACATTCGCATAAGTGTTTTCCTTGTAAACCTCCTTCGTAGTCTTCATCGCTTCTATCTCGGCGAAATCGCGCGGTCGTATCAGTTGAAAAGTATTCTTCACGAGGGCCGAACCCTTGCCAGAAGTTCTGTAGAGCACGTTCTCGTGTTTCCAACCCGATGTAGATGGTCGTTCTGCGGAAGTAGAAGGCTGATTCAATCTACGAATGTTTCCACTGGTTTGCACGGACGAGGACACCTTTTGCTTATCCGCCTCGTAATCGTTCAATGACGTTGCATCCGTCCTCGTCGACGTGACCGACGCGACGTACGTCTTGTTCGCAGATACGGGCGAGCGTTTCTCAACCTTTTCGAGAATGTCGCCGTCATTTGACGTAACCTTCTTCGGTTTCGGCCGCTTCGGTAACGAGTGCTTCATCTCCTTCAGCATCTCCTTCAAATCCGCGGTAATTGGGTCCTCGACGGTATTGAGGACGGTTGATTTTGTCTTACTAGACTTCGCCTTCTGATCCGAGTCAATCAAACGCGAGGCTTCCTTGCCCGGTATCGATCGTGCAGATTGTATCGCTGATCTTGTCTTGCCATCCTTCTCGGCTTCCACCAGGATATCGAGCACTTTGGCCACTTTACTCGACGTAGCTTCATCCTTCGGAACTTTGGCTCTGTCGGATTCGACTGCTGGTCTTCGCTCAATCAGCTTGAACTCTCTTGAGCGCAGCTGCCGGTCGATCTCGTCGAAGATGTCGGAGAATTCCTTCTGCGTTCCCTCCGGCCGTTCGCCATCTCGCTCCGTCTTCTCTCGAAGAAGACCTAACGCGTTTTCCGTGCTTTCAGCTAAATTACGAGCACGGGAGAGCAAAAATTTTCTACTAATTTCGCTGTTTAATCTCGGCGATTCTTTCTCCTTCTTTTCTCTTCTGATTTCTTGTCGCGATCTTATTTTCTCTTCAGTTACCGGCGATATGATGTCCTTCTGAATCTTCTCGTTCGCCCGATTTGCAGCGAGCTGGCTTTGCAAAAGAGATATTCTATTAGACGTGTCTTGCATCAGCTGATCGTTCTGCTCCTTGATCGCAATTTTTATGTTTGTCGGCTTCACGTCCGCGTGTGCTGCCTCAGTTTTACTTCTCGATGGTCTCTGCTGTGGCAAAAAATATCTGGAGATGTCTTTGTCAACGCGCACGTTTTGGCCGAGATCCTGCTGCATCGAGAACCTCTGGTTTCTCCAATCTCCGATCTGCTCGAATCTGCTGTTTCTCGCCGCGTCTCGATCGAGTCTGCAACCCGGCTGATCTCTTCGCGCAAAGAAGTTGGCATTGACCGTGACCTTGGTGATGTTGCTGATGGCATTGAATTTTGAGATCAGCGCACGCGTGCCCCGTCGCGGCGACGAGCTCTCCATCGCCGAGGTAACGATGTCCTGTACAATCTCCTCGTTGACGTCATCGCTCTTCTCGAAGGCGTCGGCGAATTGTGACGATTTCAACAACATCGACGCTCTCGTTCTCGCCTGCTCTTCCTGCACGATCGCCGCCGCTTCCTTATCCAGCTCGCTGATGTTCGTCAGGATGGACAGGCCGGACTTTCGTTTAGCCTCCTGTCGCTTTCTGTCGTCGCTATGTCGCTCTCCGCGATGGAAAAAATTTAATCTCGACAGAGAAGCGTCGACGGAATAATTCGCGGTAGCAGTCATGTTCGTGCCGATGCATTCTTCCTTCGTTTCAACGGACGTCGCAGGGCTGCGAAAAGCGCCTCTTTTCGACGAGCCGGAGTCACGGGAGTGCTCGAAAACGCTGCGCTTGTACCAAGGTCGCGGCATGGCTGCGCTCAGAGTTCCGCCGATGGGACTGTGCGCTCTTTCCTGATGAACTGTCACGCTGGACGTTCCGGCGTCGTCCTTCTTCGCGGCCTTTAAAAGTTCCTTGTTGCCAACTTCCTTTTTCGACAGCAGCATACCACCCTGAAGAACTAGTGTGTCGTTACTGATCGATTGTCCCTCGTCGGCATTCTTCCGCTCCTCTATCTCCATGTTACCGCCATTGGTGATGAGCAGTCCCGACTGCTCTTCGGCGGAACGATTTTCCAGGGGCGGTCGCGGCGCCCGCCGTTTTCGTCTGCCGCTGTGCCTCGCGGACGTTTCGCGTGCATCGACCTCCGCGACCTTGACCACCGCGCCGGGAGGGTTGGGCGCTTTACGTTTTCCCTTCACGTGAACCCGCCGCCGCGCAGATCCATTGCAACCGGTCCTCGCGCGCTCGTCGTGTCTTCTCGATGCGCTCGATAACCCGGGCGTCGGAAAATTTCCGCACGAGCCGAAGGTCGTCGACGGGTGCAGCGAGTATCTGGCAGTGATGTCTCGCCTCCTGGAGTGCACGTTCGTCGGTAGCGTGCTGGCGACCGCCGCCGACGCGTCGTTCTCTTTGTTGCCCACGGACACCTTCGAGGCTCCGGCGGCGAACGGGCCGACCTCGGCGGCCTGATTAAGGATGTCCAGCGACAGCACGTCGCAACGGCCGAGAGTTCCCGCGTGAAACGCGAAACTGCGCACCGTCGTCGTGCTGTAGAAGGTGTCTACGCTTTCCGCGCTGGAGTAGACGCTGCTGCGACGTCGAACGACGCTGTCATCGTTCGGCCTCGCGCTCGCTCGCCGTTCTTTCTCCACGGTTGAGTCGCGATTACGCTTGAACCACCTGAACAGGGAGAATCTGCCGCCGCTGCCGCGCGTGAGGGAAGCCGTAACCTCGCCGTCCGTAACGGCACCTCGCGCTACCACCGCATCCGTCGCGACGCCGACGCCGGACGTTTCTCCTTCGCGCTCGCCGTTCCGCACGCCATTGAGGGATGCGCTCGTCTCGCTGCTGCATGCGGCTCGCTGTACCATTCTTACTCACTCTCGCATATCCCGTGCGGCGAGGCACCGCGCCCCGCGCCTCAGCCGCCGCGCTGCATAGTTCTTTATTTAGATTCACTCGAAACGCGGTTTTAAGTTCCTTCCAGTTCGGCTATACGCGAACGCCGAAAATTCCGACGGAAGTCACGGGACGTCTGACGGCGATCATGTTCCACCAGATAGACTTCCTCTCCGCATAACGCACATCTCTCTTCTTCTCTCTTGATTTTCGTATTCGCGCACTTGAGCTGGCAGCTCCTAATTCATCGTCGTCGACAGCCGTCCGTTGCGAGACAGCGAAGGTGTCAGGTGCATCGCGGCGACGTCTCCGGGCGACGAACGCACTCGCGCGAACTGTATCGGCGGATTTTGCGACCGAACCGCACGTAGTCGGTGCCGAACCGGCGACAAAGATACTCACGTCGGTAAGCTATTTATAGATCGGGTGGTCCTCCTGCGGCGGGGTTATTTTCAAGTCCACTTTGCACACCGCGCACCGCCGGCCGAAATCAAAACAGAGAAATACGGGCTAACGCGCGCGCTCTTCCAATGTACGGTTTCGTTGAAAAAAATATCGTTGCGGCTGCCGCGGGCTTTAATCGATGTGGAAATGTTCCCCACTGAAAGTGATATGCGATTCCGCCCGTGCAGTTTCCGCTCCTGCATTTTAACAATCGCATCTGAAATATTTGAATTAATGGAAAAGTATGAATGGAAACGATGAATATTTCTCAAAATATACGGATCCGATCTATCCGAGGAGCATGGCAATAGTGAACAATAGCCTGTTAATTAAAGATACTGATATAAAATGTTGCTTGAAATATTCCTTACTTATTCATTATCTGTTATCAGATAATAATCGAGCAATTTACAATGATATAAAAGGTGATGACGCCGAGTTATTTTTATGTACCCACAGGCTTCTCAGCCTGTTATATAGGCTGCCATATTTTCAGTCGCTGATTTTCACAGCGGAGCATATTAATAGTTGGTCGGTACGTGAAATCTTCAAGGTGTTGAATAAACATCGCCCTCTAAAAGCCCACCGTATCTATGCGCCGTGTACTCGATTGTATTTATTTCCGCAATAACTCTAGGCATTATCTGTGCTCAGCGGTATAACGCTGTGTTACGCCAGACACTGGATCTTAAATTCAGAGAGCTTAGAACGTCTGATTTACATTGCTGTGTCCATTTGCATCGCGGTGCGCGATACGCTCGCGCGATATTATTTTTGGATTTGACTAATCCTGCGAGAGGGCATGTACTAGCGATGATCAAGCGCTGCCTCGTAGCGACACGTGACGTTCCTTCGCGGAATGAATCAGCGCATGAGTCTGAGTTTTGACAAAATTCCCAAAACAGCGACATGACACTCGATACAATGGCCCCGGAAAGCTTTCTCTGCGGCCTTGAAAATTTCACGCAACAGAACCACGGCGCGTTTTTCAAGTTGATCGGATGCTGTTTCGCACCATGTAGGATTTCCACCGAAAATAAACTCGCAGCTTGCACATCGCGCGCTCGCGCACCTTTCCAACTGCGCTTTCCAAAAATACGCGGAATTTCTTGTAGAAATAGCGCACACAGCGATACGAAAAGCATCGAAAGAAATTTGCGTTGTAAATCTTTTTTTATACATTAATTATTGAATTGTCAATTTCAATAACTTGGAAACTGCGTTTAGTAGATAATATTCAGCATAAATAATCACGTTACATGTTTTCATTAAAATGTAATATTGAAAAATCTATAAAAGATTGAAAATTACTGAGTATGATATTTAACATTTGCATGGTAAAATTCGTAAAACATTTATAAAATTTTAATAAATACAAAACTGTTTCTACCTTTTTTAGGCTTGAATTAAATAAAAATGATATTTGAGTATTTATAATATAACAAAATCAAATTTTTAAAATTATTAATAATAAAATTCTAATAATAAAAAATAAAATCTTCAATATTTACACATTTAACAACTTGTAAAAACTACATAATTTGTTTTTAATCTTCTTGTGAATCAATTTTTAGCAATAGTAATTCCGAAAAAATTTTACGCGTAAACTTAATATGTAGCAGTATCATCGATTGTCGACGATCAATCTATGGCGCTTGGCGATATTTTCTGTCGTAAAGTCCAACAATAATTATTCTGGCGAGACAGCAGCCGCGGTGATAAACTGAAATAATTTTGCCGCACAGACTTTTGTCGCAATCAAACGGTGCTAATTTCCAAAGGCTTCTTCTATTTTATTATAGCGATAAAACGCCGGATTTTTACGTTCTTCTTTATTGATCTGGATTTATCGTATGTTTCGTACGTTGATATATCCATGCGGAAGATTTGTCGCAAATTTTTTTATTTGAAAATATAAGAGATATAAGAAGATATAACATAAAATATTTCTATAAGTCGCCAATCCAATCATTATAAATTTATTTTATAAATACTGTAACATGTAACGCTTATCGATAAAATCGCTTTAAAGAATTAATTTCTTTTCATTTATTTATTACTGAAGTATCTGTGTCTTCTTTTTTATGTTGAATTTATTTATGTGATTTACTTTTCCGTTTGCATGTCATATCTAAACTTTCCGTTGCACGAGTTTAGCTGAGATGAATTTATTTGAGAATTAACTGAGCGTATATTTTTAATTGCGTCCACGTCTCGAAGAAAAGGGTAGCTAACAAAAGACTGTCCTCGCCTTAAGTACCTTTGCTCAAGCGCATACCGTTGGTTATCATAAGAACAATTCTACAAATACAAACATGCACACAAATTCACGCGTAAATGTAAAACACACGTAAAACGTAAACGGAGATAACTACCTCACAATAATTCGATAACGTAATTTACTGAGAAATCATGAATATGCAATTAGTGCGACGTAGAGAAAAACCGTGTTATTTCAACTATTTGCAATTGCGCAATCAACGATCACACCGTTAAGATTAATCAAACTCTGTTATTGAAGAAAAGATTTGCTCAAATTATGCAGATTCATCTACATTTAGCAAATAGCAAGAGAATACAATCTAGCGGTTTGTTCTGCTTGGCGAAACATAATGCTTTAGAAATGATTTCCCAATCTTCTCTGTTTATACGAAGCAGCGGGACACGGCGAAGCGCCCACCGTCGAATAAAAGACCGCTCGGCTGTCGCCGGAGTGCGTAGCCTTAGTTCACTTTTATTGTCGGAAGTCGAACTGGAGCGCGAGGGCGCACGCCTTTTCCTCCTCCTCCTCTTCCCCTCCCCTTCTCACTCCCTCTCGCTCGCTCGCTCGCGTCGAGTCAGCGTAGCCTACCCGTAGACGGGGGGTTTATTTCGCGAATTCACCGGCCTGCCCCCGCGCCGCGCCCCTGACTCTTGGCTCCCGGCGTATCCCGCGTCCTGAATACAAATCGCGACGTTTCCTTTCGCGGAGCTCTTCCGTAGACTGCCAGGACTGCGCGATCATTACCATTAATGAAGAAGCCGGTGGCGGAACGTCGGGGAGGACGCCTCCGCCTCCGGCCTGCATCTTGCTAGACGCATAACTCACGATGACCGAGACGGAAGTTCTGAGGCCGATAGTAATGTGGGATTATTCCCACCGGATACGCCCGTCCATATTCAGCGATTTACAATTTTTATACCCATGCGTCCCCGGGGAGTGTCGCCGCGCGTGTCGTTGAACCCGGCGTCGGAAAGGTCAACGGCGAGGGGGAGGGTCGGAGTTTCGGTACCGGCGGATGTTTTATTTAGGCGCGCCTTACTGCACCTACCCGTGGCATTGGACTTCGGCGAAGTCGGATGTAAATTAGTTATCGAGTAATGTTGAATTCTTATGCGCTCGGCATGAAGGGTCGCCTGATTGTGAGTAAGAGAGAGAGAAGTTTAAATGAAGAGACGATTTTAGATCCCGAGCGCGGAGGGCGAACTGAATTATGAATCGTCCGTTCCTTCTGAGATTTTTTAGTTATGAATGGAGCATGTAAATACGCGCGAATGCATAATAAAACAGCTGCACAAGGGTGCGACGCCGTTGAGTACGACGGCCGCGTTATTTATTTTATAGAAATGTTTGTGTCGCGTAATCAAACCGCGAGATTAAAACGTCGCGCTGCGAGTCAAGTCGAAGCGCCGTCTTTAATTACGCACGAATTAAAATCAAAATATGCTTAACAGAATTGTGAAGCGTCTTTTGTGCGCGGAATTGCTTTTTTTTTTTTACGCGTGTTTTATGTCTTACTAGTTTTTCTTGCGAAGCTTTTCAAAGGAGGGTGCTTTTTTCATGGCAAAAAACTCGGTAAACTTAAATGATGCAGTTGCGACAATAGTAGCGATATGAGTTTTATTTGTAGACAATGGATGGATAGTAAAATGAAGAAGTTCAATTTAACCGGTCTCCCGGAAGTTGGGCAAATACAAATAAACGTTTTATATCAATAGACCGATATCGAGAATGCTCGTTTGCTCGTAGTATGCCGTAATAAAGAGTAGAGTGCCGAGGAAAAATGAGATACTTTAGAATCATGCATTCCTAGTGAATATTGCCGCGTTACTTAGAAATGTATGGCATTACTGCTTCGCTTCGCATTCGTACTCCTTGCACCAAGAGAAATGCAAACGAACGCTGTCGACGATGATCCTGGATTCCCGACAGTCTGATAAGGAATCGCGATGCCTTCAATATGCAAATTTTACGACGTTCCGCGCCTATCGCTCGTGTTCCCCGATAGACATCAGAAAAGAAAGGCGTCGCCACCTGCTCCGATAGAAATATAAATGCTATTGACCATCGGCATTGTTCTACAAGTGATGTTTAATTCATCTCAGCATTCGTATTCGCGCGCTATTTCAATCTAGTTTACAGAAAGCAAATTTGAGTATTGTTAAAAAAAAAGTGAAAAACGATTCTCCGTATGTATCAAAGTTCGCCAGTGCATGCGCATCTTCGTGTGAGTGAAATTTTTGCTAATAAAATTTTGCAAGGAAATTTGTAACACACTTGTTGAAATATTTGAACATATCCGATGCATAAATTCGTTTAAAAAATGCATGTTGATTTATATCACTCTGAAATATACGGATTAAAGCGTACATTTAATTTGCCAGCATTAATATTAATATGAGTATGCCGAATATGGAGTGCGCAAATACTTCATTGCGACCCCCGGGAGACAGATATCCTGGCTATACAGTGAGGAAAGTATTTCTCAAGCAGACTTCGGTACGTGTTGGAAGCGCTAGCTACCTACTTCAGTTACGCCGTCGTACGTGCGCAAGATAGTTAGATTGTCTTCCTCAAGTTATCCTTCTACATGATGTTAAACTTCCCTGTAGTTTCCATTGACCATACGTATGCTACCGTGCTTCCGCAATATATTCGCGGTATCCGCTGATGAATACGGGACCGCGGACAGAGATTAGATTACGCGAATTCGTGAACCTGTCAAGAAAATGCATTCTTATTTAAACTCACTTAAACTCGCACAAATTGCTCCTTTGTATAAGTGAAATGTAAGTCAAACATAAGAAATGTAAGCAAAAGTTGATGGCGACACTATTTCTTAATAGCATCGATCAATAATGGCGAGTTGCGCTTGTGAAAAAAGACGCTCGAGAATGGACTTAACATGGTAATTAATATTGCCTATCCATCGAACGATGTCGAATAAATTATTCCAAGATGCGAAATAAATTATGAGATGCGCGTTTGCCTCCTTCGTGTCTCCTACCTTCCTTTTGGTGCATAAATTCGATTTCCTACGCGTTGTCATCGTGAGTTTCCAGCGTGGAGCGTACTCGTTTAATAATCGTATTACGGCAGGCTTAGCAATATCCGCGGCGTCAATCAGTGTGGACCCATCCACGTAATCTGAAATATCAAATCCGATCTGGCGTTCCATTAAACTGAAAAGCTGGAGAACTTAATCTATGCCCGCCAATCAAATCTCTCCGATTTGCGAGGTGCCGATTTTTCTCTCGCGCGCGATTATCTTCCGCGCATATTTTGCGTTTGCTTTTAAAAATATGTGATGCGCACCCTTCGTAAATCTCACGCTCGTCTTTTTTCTTCTAGGTATTAGCTAAAGTGCAGGCAGCGATGGCAGCGAGTCACGGGAAGCAGACATCACTATTTGTCAAAAGGAAAAGACAGATCGATCACGATAACGGTAAGTAGTTCTCTGTTCGCGATAGAGCGAAACCACAACGAGAATCTCCATGTCTCGTATAAAAGAATACCTTTAATCCTTAAAAAGAGAAGAAAAAAGTTTATTTTTTCAAATAAATAATTTTTAGTGAAATATTTTCTTTCTTTGCAAGGTGCTTTATATTCTGGAATATATTTCCATTATTACATTTTCTCTCTGCATTGCACATATTTTTTTTTTCGGCGTACGCTTCTTTGTATTTGTACAACTCGACGCTAGATGCTTAACTTCGATAGCAATTCTTTATATAGTTGCTTTGTTTTAACGGCAGTATCTGCGAACAAATGCAGATGCACGGTTTTATAAGCTTTGGAGCGAGAAGCCGACCGCGATAGCATTAAGCTTCTTGATTGAGGCTGTGAAATTTAATCGGCGATTCATGTCCCATTTTAATGCCCGTAAAGTAACGTATAACCACTTTAGTATCTACCGGATTTCGACGAGCCGTACAACTAGGAAGATTTATTTCAGACCACTAATTGCCTCAAAATCTATGCGAATAAATATAAGCGCATTTACAAACGCGTATCATCTATTGTTGAACATTGCAATTTGCATTCTCTGACAATTTGTACTATAATCTTTCGCGATTTAACCGTAACAATATTTCATATGCGCCCGCTGCGAGGTATTAACTGTGACAAATTTAATTAGTTTCAATAACATACCATCTCCAATTTATTAATTATATTAATCATGATTTCGTTGAGATTACATCGCGATACACTTTTGTTCGCTTTGCTTAGTTCACTTGGCTTGAATTCCAATGAGCGAAATGTAGAGAAACTCAAAAATATATGTCGCTGTTTCGTCCAGCATACTTTACCGCCATCCGAGAAATTCGTCACGAGGCGACGCGCCGTTTGAACACCACGCGGCGCCGCGACGCCTAACGACCTAGATTTTTCTCGAGACTATTTTATCGCGACCAATCCTCTCCTCCTCGCCTAAGCTTCAGCCGTAATTTATCGTCCGTACATGTGCAAGATGACGTCAACGTTACTTTGGCGATTCATGGGTGAAAATACGAAATATGTCACATAATATCCATGCATTTTTTTTCACAAATGAATATGTTGCAATAATTTATATATATTTTTATTTCGGCTCTTTTTTGTCAATATTGGCAACGCTTTCTGGATTTGCTACGAATAAAATATATTTTTTTGACGCTTGCGATCGCTATGCGTTATACGTGCAATCCCGATGCTTGGAACTGATGGATATACGAACGCGGATTCTCAAAGGAAATTAATCATCTAGTTGAGGCAGACGATAGTCGCGTCTCCTCACTTTGTGAACGGTTACCGTAAAGCTCATCAGCCGCGGTGCTAATTTCTGCTTCCCACCGATGTTTCAATCATCATCAATATCTGCTGTAAACTACTAACGCTCATTAAGCGTAGATGCAATTTCCGTATCACGCACCGAATCTCATGTGTATACAATTATGCGTGTCGTTCGTACTAAATAATATTCCACATGGGCGGGGAGGAGGGGAAGGGGGAGAGACATTTCTTGCACGATACAATTTCCTCGGAGGATAAATAGCGAGATATTGAGAGTTACATTCGAGATAAAATCAGTAGTAAAAATACAGATGCACATTTACGCGAATATACGACGCTACTTGCGCCATATTTTCTTTTATTCTACTTTCTGTATATATCATAAATTAAATAAAACCTCTCTCTGGAGAGAAGAAATTCCGCCTTTGTCCGTAGACGGTTCGCGTATCGTAAAAATTAAAGTAGCTAATAAACGGCAGTGGTCAGACGTCTGGAAATTTATCGGAGTGCAAGCTTTAAAAAAAGAAAGTCATTAGTACGCACCTGCACACACGCTTGCGTACAACGTGTCGTTATTTAACTTCCTAACCGTGGGATAATGCGTGTATTTATGCGTGCCGGCGTTCACACGCGTGAATGCATGCGTGCGCGCACATTCATCCCGCGTTAAACGCCATTCGGTGCTTCGCGGGGCGGGAAAATCGCGCGGCAGACTGTACGTGAATTTTTATACGACGGATTTTACGTTTCGCGGAGCGTTTGTTTACTCCTCCCACCCTCCCTCACCTTGCTAACCCCGGCGGCATTTTATAGCCTGCATATCCGCAATCTCGGCATTATGCAGGTGTACTATTCGCTTAGACATCGAGATCCGACTGCCGCGTCGCTTGAGCTCTTGTAGGTCTACGGATTCATGGGGGGAGGGGCGTCTGGCGCACATGGTGCTCGCAATATGGTATGTCCGGACCGCACTTCTTACGCTTGTGAATGTTTTACGACATCGTCGTGAACGTGCCTGCTTTTTATCTCGCGCGACCGCGTAATTGATTGCGAGGCTCGCTTTAATTAAAACGAATTTCGTTCATGTCTCCGTTACAGCGGCAAAAACTTATCTTTTGGTCGGTGTTTTTTTGTTCATCGATGAATGAAATATGATATAAAATAAATGTACGAGTAATATTGACTCTTCCCATTCGATCCGCAATCCCTCCGCAATCACTGTACGATCTATAATTTTTTGTTGATTAATTTTACGCGATTGAAGTAAAAAAATGTGTTTAATGCCATTGAAAAAGCACAATATATAATTAACAAAAATTGTTCGGGAGGAAATTGGGAATAGAATCGGGGAGGATTCGATAACGGCTTCAAGGTATGAATTGTTGCTCTTACGGCGGGGGCTTCACATTCCAGAGAGGGATAAGAGGCGGGACAAGCAGACGATAAGAAGTATCGTCCTGTCTGTCTGCGAGATCCCGGACTGTCGGCTCCAATAACGCAATCGGGCGGGATCGATTTTCAACCCAATCGTCAGAGAATGCAACGTGTAAACCGCGGCGGAAAGTGCAATATATTTTCATGAGTGCCCACCGCCGAACCGGCCGGGGAAAAGGTACGGATGGTACGGTTATGCTGGCCCAAGAGGGATGCTTTAAAATCGAATACTCGAACCTGAACAAACTCTTGTACCGGCCCCGGAAACCCCGGTATAAACTCGTAATATCGCATTTTTCCTTCTGCTTCCTCCTTTTTCCTATCCTCTTGATACCGACCGGATTTTTCCTCCTTCCACCTCCTCTCGCCCCTCTTTCTCTCGTACAGTCGCGGAAAATCGCGACCCGACTCCTGCGCTCTGGGGGATGCTCGCGGAATAATTTGAATCGTTGAATGGTCGCAGTTGCTGCACATTCGCTCCCTTTTCCGCTAAATTTTTGGCACGCTACCGCAGTACGTTTTGATAATGTGGCTTACACCTCTGAATACTTTGAACTGTATCGCTTTTTAGATGCGCGCGTATCTGCATGCCTACCTCGCATACACGATGTTTTTCACTCCATTCATGTTCAACGATCTAAGAGCGACCGCACCTTTCGTTGCTCTTGCTTTACCCGCGTCCGTCTTCAATATCACGTGTACGTATATCACAGTTTCAATGGCCTCTCTTGGGTTCGGAGCGTATTTTTGCTTCTCTTTTTTTTTTTTTTTTTTTTTTGATATTTTGTTATCTCATTCATCTTCTCTTGCATGAAATCTGTAGTTGAATTTTCTTTTATTTGAATTTAATCTAAAAATGTATCCCAGCAATTTATTAATATTCTTCATAAATTAATGAATTCGCTGTTATCCGATATCTTTTTTAATATTATAGTACGATCGTATCAGATAGCCGTGTCATAAAAATACATTTCTTCGCTCCGTGCGAATCGCGATCATATTTCTCGCCAGTGTGCAACGTAGTACTTTTCTTTTGCATTCGCCTGCAATGGCTGGCATGCGTACAGCTTCGTGGATCCGGATTCACTTTTTCCCACCTCAATCCGAGACGTGTACGGGAAGAACGATTGAGGGATCGATACTTCCACCCGTCCTTTTCTCCACGCGATTTAACGACGCGCGGAAATTGAACGGTCGTCGTGAGCCGCGATTCCGGCTTTTCAGCCAACTCGGAGAAACAGCCAGGAAGGAACAACTTCCAACTCCATCGTTGTAGTTCAGCTTTCGATTTGCGCGAGCGATGACGCGCCGGGTACGCGTCGCGCGGACAACGCGGCGGAGAAATCTAAACTTTAAAGTGCGTTTCCACCCCTCCGGCTATGCTTGGGCGATGTAAGACGCAAACGTGACATCTTCGCTGGGAAATACGGGAAGAGATTGCTCGAAGATTGGGAATCAATTTCACAATCTGACGCGGAAATGAGAATGAAAGGGTAAGAGGAAAATTACGTTTGCCGGCGCGCCGCAAATGTGATAAACATCCCGCAAAGTTCTGCGATGTTTAAAATATGCTCGGGGACGAGAATGGAAATCATAACGACGGTCATTGTTTGCATTTCGCATCATAATATTTTTCTCATGACGTAAATAAGAAATCGCGCGAGAGAGAAAATATTCTAATATTTATTTCATCAACGAGATTTATAGTGGGCTTTGGCTATTTTAATTTCAAGGGAAGAACAAACGGAAACAAGAATAAACCGAGATTTATTCTTCAAGTTTCCAATGTATCTCACTTTAGCATGAGTTTAATAGAAAAGTTGATTGCCGAGATGAGGTTGCGATAAACTTTCACCCGGAACAAATTGACTATAAATTTGTCAAAGAATCTGCGGATGATAGATGTCACGGTAACTGAGAAATATCCTATTACGGCCGCGATCGATACCATTGTGCGGAAGGACGCAAATACAAAGAGAGGAGCGGTGCGCTGACTGCTGGCTACAATTGCGATAAAACATTCACTCCGAATATGCTGTGCCATGAAAATTTCATCCACTATTATGTCGCGCAATCTACGGCTGAATATCGGTTATTGCTGCAGTCAGTCATAGCGCCGGCAGATTTACGTACAGATACTTATAATACGAGCGTTGCCGTTTAAGCAGTTAAGTCCATGCCAAGTCGAAGACAATCTCCTCAAACGCTTTTGCATCTCTCAATCTAATTTCTGGTCGC